AGACATAAGTGTATCAAGAGATCCCATCACAATAACGCCAAAAACAGAATATTGCAGAGAGAAATTCAGGGAGTTGAAGTCCAGATATCCTAAAGTTGCCAAGGTTGGGAAACACTGCTGCATAGACTAAAATGGTTTCTCCCAGTTCACGTAGGCAAGGAGAGGTCATACTTATGTCACACTTAGCTAAAATAAGAACTTCCTGGTGTAGCTTAGTTAACCAAGTGCTTCCCAGTATGAAAGGCTTCCAAAAGTTTAGCTGACACTTAAGGAATATAATAAAAGCAAATCATATTACTGATGAGTACTTCAGCTTACGAGTTTTTATATATGAGATGCAGGATAGATACAGAGATAAAAACAAGTCAGTGGCACCTATACAACACTTTGTCCTAGATCGTTAATATGCCTCCTGTGATGAAAATGTCAGTTTGCTATGTTTTGGCCATGTTGGCTGGGAATTCTGGGATCTGTAATACAATGCATCTGAAAGGCACTAGACTGAAAGTACTGGTCAACCTTTTTCTTGAAAAAACATTGAGATTTATTTAAAACGCTGACAAGGGAGGATCCATAAAGTGTTGTATTTTGTGTGCATGGTTAAGTATCACTTTGTTACTTATAATGCAAGTAATGCAATACAACAGTCAGTTGTATTAAGCATTAAATCTGGGGGAAATGAATAGCTATAATTTACCAACCCAAATCACATGAAATCCTTCTTAATATGATCTATACTTGAATCAGCATTTACTTGGAAGTATGTGTAAGTAATGTGAAGGAACACCTGTGCAAAAGGCTTTGTGGATTTATGCTGTTTCAACAAACAAAACTGCTAGGTATTTTCTGTCTCTTTAGGGAAGAAAGAGAGCGTGCCTCAGGTTACAGAAAGAGAGGTCCCAAACCTAAGCGCCTGTTGCTGCAGGTAATATTTCAGATTTACTAAATTTTGATGCCTATTCCTAAATCCCAGTATTGCTGCTGTAGTTCAGCCTCTCCCAGTTTTGAATTCATAGACACTGTGGGCTGGAGAGAGAGCTCTGCTAGTCTTTTGCAGCAAACACAACAAGGAATCTTCTGGTATCTGATGTAATGGACTGTGATTCCTGAAAGCTTATGCATTAAGACATCACAAGATTCTTCTGGGCATATATTATTAGACTCTTATCTCCTTTCATTTTCAACCAGCATACTCAGGTTAGATAGGAGTTGTAGTCCAGCAATATCTAAGGGATATCTAACCTTCCTTTTCTCTCTTGCCATACACATTGTAAGAGGAAAATTAGTTTTCAGAATTACATCTTAGCTAAAAAAAGACACTTTGCCCACAGTTCAGAGCAATTTTAAATGTTCTGCTCATAACAGGTTTTTTTTCCCCCACTGGAAGCTTTTGCTCTTGTGCAAATAAACCCAAACACTCTTTTACTCATGAAATAAGCTCACGTAGAGCTCATGAAATGTCCATCCACTTAGGCCATATTGGCTGACTGGTGTTTTGAGAGTTGGAAGCCCAGTGCACCAGAAGAACCTAGACTCCAGGAAGACTGCCTTACAAGTTGTGGCTTATGTGAACCTAGCTGCATCACATACTTCTTGAGCTGAGAGTGCTTTTCTTCATTTACAGAGACTATATAGCATGGACCTGAGGAGTGCCCACAAAGGGAAAGAGAAACTCTGCTTTTCTCTGTCCCGGAGGTTTGGGGGAGGAGGAAACAACTTGGCAGGGGCCAAGGGAGGGCAGACAGAACTGTCTGAGAAGAGTGGGGGAGCGGTCCTGCCCTTTCCTCTTCGGAAACAGAGCAAGAACCAGAAGTATCTGCGCCTTTCACGGAAGAGGTTCACCCGCATGTCGAGCCTGGAGAATCGGAATCGTCGTCGAGAGTTCTTTTTGAAGGAACCTGTGGCCCTTGAGGACAGGCAGCCGCCCAATGACTGGGATGATTCAACGCAACCTGCTAGTAAGGAAGGTAAGCCTGGAAATATCCCTAGCTTTGCCATATCAACTTCATCTTGCTGGGCAGCTTGTGTTTTTCTCTAGACTGCTGCATTCTGGATATATAAATGGGGACTGAGTCTTTAATTTACCATTTGTACCTCCCAAGCATACACAGGTCTTCAGCAGCTTGAACTAAAAGAGTAATTCCAAACTACAGGTAGTCCTCGACCTATGACCATTAGGTCAGTGACTGTTTGAAGTTATGATGGTGCTGAACAAATGGTGGTTACAACCGGTCCTCGGAGTTCTGTCCATCCCAGCACTCCCGTGGTCACGTGATCGCAATCTGGGCGCTTGACAACCAGTTTGCATTTATGACCAGTTGCAGCACCCTATGATCATCATTTGCAACCTTCTCTGCCAGCTTTCCCAGAAAGTCAATGGGGAAGCTGGCAGGGAAGGTCGCAAGTCATTGGGGTAAGCCTCCCCCACCTGCACACTCTCCCCCAGTTCTCTGCATTCACCCCGGCCACTCGCACACCCCCATGCACCCTTTCCAACCTGTGCCTCTCGTGCACAATGCACTCTGCCCAACCCTCACATCTCTTGCACACCCCCTTGCACTCTCCACAACCTGCACCACACCCTTGCACCATCCCTGACCCATGCCACACCTCTCACGCACCCTTGCTGCACCCCCGCGCACCTCCTCACTCCCTCTTGGCAGCAACCACTTACCTGCCTGCTGGGCTGGGACTTGCAACTTCCTGCCAGCTTCCTCACTGACTTTGGTTATGGGAAGCCAGCAGAAAGTTGCCTCACCTAACGATCATGGGATTTGGTTAACAACAGCAACCAGGACTTCAGGGATTGCTGTCGGTAAGCGATGCAGTCATACTTTACAAATTTAGTGATGGAAATTTAAACTTCAAGAAGTTTGGACTGTAATTCCCATATCCCAGCCAGCATGTCCAGCACATCTGAAGGGCATCAGGCTAAAAGAGTTGGGTCTACACTTCTGCTAAACTACAGGTTTCATGCTTGTGAGGAATCAGGAATGCTATAAGTGGTTCATGTAAACTTTCTAGTGTAGATGAACAGATAGTTCACTTAATAACCATTTGTTTAGTGACCGTTTGAAGTTACAACAGTGCTGGACAAAGGGATTTACAACTAGTCCTTGCACTTACGACAGTCACAGCACCCCCACAATCACATGATCGCAATCCAGCTCACACTTACAATGGTTGCAGCATCTGGGCATCACATGATCACCATTTGTGACCTTCCTAGCTGGCTTCCAGCAAGAAAATCAATGGGGAACCACAAGATTTACTTAATGACCACATGATTCGCTTCATGGCCACAGTGATTCACTTAATGACCGCTGCAAAAAAGGTCGTAAAATTGGGTGCAACTTGCTTAACACCTGCCCCACTTAACAATGAATTTTCCTGTCACTATTGTGGTTGTTAAGCAAGGACTACGTGTATATGAAGTTTACTGTTCAATAGTAGAACATTTTATGTTCAAAGCAGTTTTATGTTTATGTTTACATTAACTTCCATGCATAGTATAACACAACTGAAAACCTGATGTATATTAACTCCCAATGAAGTCACTGTATGTCTATAAATCTGATTTCAAAAGGAATATTTGCATCAGGACCTGGATTGTTTGCCAGGATAATGTGCTATATATTTGTGAACAGTAAACAATACCCTAATCAAAGAACTACCAGAGGGGGAAAAAATAAAACAAAACCCACACCAACACCAACACTGGCAGGGCACACCACTATATATAAACAGAGAGCAAACCCCATTCCATTCTAGCACTGAAGATGTTACCTAGCCAGGTAACGAAACGTTTGCAAGAAAACAACCAAGCTCAGAGAACCCCAAGGAATGTGTGAATGAAACAGAGTTGCTTCCTTTACATAATTCATTCTACTTCTCCTAGCCACGTAATGAAACAAGGAACTTTCTGGGTATTGTCATTTGACTGGTTACGCTTAAAAGCTCTACACAAATGCACACATGTCCCAGCTTAAATTACTTCACCAAGGCATCATCCACAAATTACAAAGTGACATACTATCATATCCATAGATAGTATGTTTGTAGAATTGTATTAAATGTAGAATTTACTTAAAGGTAAAGTCTCCCTTGAGCATGCTTTTTCTTGGCATTATTTTCTTTTGGGACATTTATTCAACTTCCAGCCTAATCTACAGTCCTGGGATTTCCTCAAGGTCTCCCATCCAAATACCATTAAGATCCGATCCTGCTTATCATTTTTGAGATCAGTCAAGAGCTGCTACATACTGCCACCTACTGTGACTCGAGCTTAATGTTTTATACTAAAACATCTGACTAAAGAATTGTCTCAAGCCTGCAGTAGCCTCATAATCCTCTGCAGTGGTGGTAGATATTTTGGGTTTTTGCAGTTTTTAGAAAGTAGAGAGCTGCAGTAGGTAGAGCGGTGGTGCTTGAAATCATGTAGGTGGGCAGAGCTGGGTTTTGGTGTGGGGGTGGTGGGCTTACAAATGCATGAAGCCTATCTGTGTTGCTTTTGCTTTTTTTTAAATCACAAAAAATTGATAGGAAATGCATCTCCTGTATAGGATTGTCATCTATCAGATATATGCAAATCTTTTAATTGTCCTCTCTATTTGGATGGGATGGCATAAGGAATTCTGGGTAGTTATAGAAATGGAATCTTAGATGAGAGTAGACCCCTGTCAAATATTCATGCAAAAGCCAAAAATAAGGTTCATGTTCTTTCCCCAGGTGAAACTGAAAGGTGCAATATGGGTAAAGAATAGAAAATGACTTCCTTCTTCTCTCATGTATGTTTTCATTTGTATAAAGACCAGCAGGAGAAGTCTAGAGACTGGAGCTCATTCTAAATTCAGTTTGCTGGGGCTATGAGGAAGAATTTGTTTAATTCATATACCTTTCCACTTAACCCTCAAAAGAAAAGCATTTTGAAAGTTTTGTAAAGAGTAATAAACAGTCCTTCCTCTAGATCTTCATGTGTAATTACTGTTTTCTTGTACTAAATATTTATGGAAGACTGTGGAAAATATCCCTGTGATATTTAGTTGCACAGTATAAATACAATTTAAGTGAAAGTACTTTGCTAGTACATCAGCAGATTGGGGAGAAGGTACATGGGATCTCAGTTCAGTCACATAATATTCCATTTTAAAGTCTTGGAGGTGTGCTGAGGATAGATAAATGCTGATGTAAGTACATCCTTGTACTAACTGGAATTGCTGGAATTATAGCACTATTTGCACAATTATGTATTTGTTGTATCTATCTGTGCAGGCATGTGACTGTGTTCCTGCTACCCCTTCCCCCTTCCCTTCCCTGGAGTGGTGTGTATCAATCCTGCAAGAGTTGACCTGTTTCATGAGCAGGCATGACCTTTGATTCCTATTGTTTTTTTCTTCAGTTTGTTCCTCCCCATCACAGCTTTTGTTTTTCTGCCCTCTACCTTTCCCACAGTGGGCCCAGAGACAGAAGGCCATTTTTCCTGGAGCCCAGCATTGCCCCCAAATGAAGTGACAGTTACAGACATCACAGCAAACTCCATTACCGTGACTTTCAGAGAAGCTCAGATGGCAGAGGGCTTCTTCCGAGACCGGAGCATCCAGTTCTGAATCTGCTGTTCGTTAACTTTTCTTCCTCTCTCCTTTTCTTTCCACATTAAGGGAATTTTTGAGTTGTGTTATTCCTGCATTCCCAATCTAGTTTCATTACACTTTCAATTATATTATTTTTAAAAAATGCGAAAAAAAATCCCTTTACAAATGTTTACAGAACATTTTTATTTTTATTTTTTTGACAGATGGTCACGCTGACATTCTTTTCTGTCCTGTATATCTTTCAAATACGCAAAACCAAGATATGTGAGGATTACCTGTGCTTTCCCCCCCTCATTTGTTACTATAGATAGAAAAAGTGTGTAGATATATTACTTGTCTGTTGTTGCTTTGTCTGTCTGGGAAACTGAAGCTTTTTTCACTGGCAAAGATATTTATTCACAGTGCATTGTGGAAAAAATGTCAATTTCTTATATCGGTGATGGCGTATACCTTCCGCACTTGAAGTTAAGGGCTCAGTGTCTGAAATAGGAAAGAGGCCAAATATAGATCTCCCCGATCTCTTCCAAGTTCAATGGACTTCTCTAGGTCAAACTGCTTCCCCAACCTGCTTCCCTCCAGCTGTATATACAAAAAGATTAGTCCCCTCTTTCTTTTGGGTGTCTGTCCTTAATGCTTCCTCATTTACTAGTACTGTTCACAATGGGGCTTGCTGCTGTTCACAGCGCTTCCACAGATGTTATAACTTAGAGAAGCAACTACAAGTGGTACAGTGGCTTTCTGGTTTGGGCATCCGAAGAATTGTGCTGGTCTTTTCCTTGCTTGTGTTTGTTAGTAGCTGGAGCATAAGAGATGGTATTGCTGTAATCAGGCATACTGGTACAAGAGAAGCCTAAGCCTAGCTTGTTATTACTCACCTGATGAGGTAAGCCCAGAAGTTTTATCCTAAGAAGCTTGTGGCTTTTCAGCAGAATAGGAATTCCTCAGTAATTACCACTGGCAATCCTAGAGTATGTAGTCATAAACATGGTTGCATGTGTCCTTGAGTAGGAAGGTGGCTTAGATGGAACTGTAACAGATCCCAAGAGTTCTGTCTGTCTGTCTTCAGATGCCTTTCTAACATCCAGGGATATGCAATAAGAGGTCTAATGTCTAATGGGATATATAGTGGGTTCTTTATATATATGAAATTCGAATTGCTTATTGGAAACTAAGCTTATATCCATTTATGTTTAGACATGTGGAAGACTACAGGATTGTAGATGGATGTAGATTTAACTATGGGAGTGGACATGTTTTAGCACATATGCAGTGTTGATCCCTGAAAAGTTCCTGGAACACATAAACGTACTCCAAGACGAAAAGATACAACTAGCTTGGAAGGTGAAAAATTGAGGCCAAGAATAAAGCTATTTCAATTAGTAGCTTCATATATATTTTTTATTCCCTGTGCAGTTACATACTCGACACAAACAAGAAGGAAATTGCTCAGTAAATTTAACTTTTTATATAGGTGAATAATTGGAAGACCTTTTTTAAAACCAGATTGTTTTAGGCGAGCTTCATTGGATATCTGGTTGTCAATTTGATAGTATGAAGATGTGCACACTTATAAGGGTATTTGGAGTGTGTGTATCTGTGTATGAAACAATAGTTTGCTAGGCTTCAAATGATTTGAGGAACACTGCATCAACATTCTGTTCTTATTCAAGCTCATGGGAGCTGTGGTTTCAACTCCCATTACATAACCATTGTCATTAAATTAACTTCAGGCATCTACAGTATGGGAGTGTTGGGTGAATTAAAAGTGAAAGTAGTTGATGGAGTGAAATACTTTTTAATAGAGTCAAAACAGTTACCAGTTTTGTTTAGGAATTTAGACCAAAAGTGGGATATTGGCACTGATTATGTTGTCCTATCTGATCCAATACAAGATCAGAAATACTAGAGCAGAGGAATGGGTTGGAAGATGAATATGAGCAAAGTTGTTATTTTATTAATTTGTGCTTCACAGGACGCTATTCTTTTTTATCTCTTCCTCCTCATTTTGGTACTTTGTATATTTTTTTTCTGTACAAATATTTTATGAAGATCTCTGCCAGGAGAAGCTGCTTGCAGTTACAGAGGACTTTGTCTTGCACTTCAGTACCTTGACATTTGTGCTGGACTTCTTTGTGAATGCTTTGTTTTGTTTTAGAGGAACTGTTTTACCTATCAACTGTATAGCTTTAGCATATGTTCTTGTGCATATGTGCTTCTTTTAAGTTTGCTTGAACAGATGAGCTCCAGAAAATAATTTTCCTATGGAAAGTGACAATGGAAAGGTAGAAGGTAGGGCTGCAATCTGAACCCTAGTTTTTGAAGAATTAAATTCAGCTGAAATGAAGAGGTCTTGCTTTATTTTTAAAAAAAAAAGACTACGCATTGAAAGGAAAAGCAATGTGTATAGCATGTTGCAATGCGTTTTCTATCTCTTCTGCTTTGTTTACTCACCTCAGCTTTTTAGCCCACAAAAATGTCTCTGATGGGTGAAATTCTTTATTAATTCAGAGTTTTATAAAAATGGAAATGTTAAAATCATGTGAGGCTTCAACACCTAGTTTTCCATCAAGACTTTTACTACCAACCTATGTCAAATTCTGGAAGGGTAGTTTAGTGTTGAACAAAAGTGTTGTTTGCCAATTTAGAGAAGCTATCTGTTGATGCTCAGTGCAACAGCTGTGGTTTTTTTCTTACCCAGAACTCTTAAAGGAAGAGATATGATTATTGGGTCAGAAGGTATAAATTAGGATAGTTTATGTTATTTCATACTGACAAAGGAAGATTGACTTCTTGAAAGTGGGGAAGAAATATATTTGATTCCCATCTTTCTGAACTATTCTGGCCTCCTTTATTCTACATTAGATTACAGGCAGCATTACGTAATAGAGCCCAATTCTTCTGAGCTCTTAATGTGAGTCCCAGAGAAAATGTGAAAGCTGTGCTTTCCCCAAAGAGTTTAGTCAACAATTCATGGCTTAGCACGGTAAACAAGTTCAATTTGTATGTTATGTGAGTGAGATTTGAAACTGAATTTCTAAGACTTGATCTTCTTCAACTCAAACTGTCATGTGATGGCATAAATTTATTATAGATCTAATGACTTCAGGGGATAAATATGGTAATATTGGTAAGTATGCAGTTGCTAAAGGAATGGTGTCTGTTCAATTCAAGAGAGCAGAGGATCCAGTTTAATTCATTTTACATTGCTTAAAATGCACCATTTCTTCCATAAAGAAAAGTTGAGTATAAGTAAAGTGATCTTCCAGAATAGCATATGTATGTGTATGATTAATGAATATACATTTCATATTATATCATTATATAGTACATTACATTGGCAATAGTTTTCCTTGGTTTCCAAGACATATGTAGAAAATGTGTAGCTTCTCCTCAGTTTCCAGTAACATTTTGCTATACTGTTCAGGGTTAAATGCATTGCTTCAGCAAAATGTAGCATTATTATGGCTGTAGATTTTTTTGATCCTTTAGCTTCTCCCATTTAAAAAATATGCCAAAGTGATTAGTATAGTACAAGCATTTTTAAAGTTGTTCAGTGGTCACCCAGTTAGTCCATGTCCAGTTTGAGATCTAATCCTATTACCATACATTTTTTCCTGTTTAAAAATTCCTATATACATAGATAGTTGAGCTGTTCATCTTTTTGATGTGCATGTAATTTATGTGAGAAGGAATATGTAGAGAAAGGGCCTTGTTTTAATTTACTGCAGCTAACATGTATATATGCTATTTGTGCATATGCTGTAATGCCTTGTGCCAAAGAAAAGGTAAGATTATTTGATGTTTCATGTTTGTATTTTCAGCATGATTTGGAAAAGTAATCTCTTAAGCTAGATAACAACGGAGATATGAGTAGATGTAAAGGGAGAGATGAAGTCCTGTATTAAGGAAATCTAACATAAGTGTACAATTTGATATCCTCCAGTAACATAATACCTTAATAGATGCTGTTCCTTGTGAGAAAGATTTTTTTTTCCTTAAAGATACTGAAGGATTAAAGATAAAAACCATAACAGTTATGAAGACTATTACAAGTTATTGTATAGTTATGTTGATGTTCCTCGATGTGCATATTGATGATGAAACAGAAGCAGCTGTAATATGACTATATGCAGTCATTTTTGCTTGATAGTTGTAGGCTGCCAGTTGCACAAGACAGTATAGCATTCTTTAAGAAATGTTGGGAATTATGAACTTGTTAAAAATGTTGAAATGTACTAGGTTTTCCTTTCTAATAATAGGAAACTTTCTTGGAAGAGACAGCTCCCTAGTAGGAAAAACTAGTAGAAAAAGGCAAATTCTCATCACCTCCTTGAACTAAACATTAAACATATATAAGTTTAAAGCAGATTTGAAGAATCCTGATAAATTGGTACTTTCAGACCCAAATAGATATTGGGCCACTGCCCTAGTCTAAAGCTTAACAGTCAATAGAATTTATTGGAGGAAGGGCAATAAATTGTTTTAATATATTAAAATACAGATTTTAATTGGCCCAATTCAAAGTACTTTGAATTGTGCACCAGCGTAAAGAGATTAACACCACATTTGCACCAATGGTTCTACTTGCCTATAATGTAGTGTGTCTGTACATCTGATAACCAATTTGCAGATTTCTATTATGGGAAATCCAGTCTAAAATGCACAAAAGTTAATACCAGGGATGCAGTCCTATGCATTTTACTGGGAGTAAATACTAGTGAGCACAGTGATGCTTCCTTTTGAATATAAGATTGCACTGTAAATGCTTATTTCCATAGTATTTAGGAATGGCATTAGTAAGATACAGATTTAGCTATTGTAGACCCCAGGCTGCTGTTCTTTTATAAATTGTAGTTAGCCTTTCAGACTTAACTGCACAGTAGGTTCCCCATTTTAAAAGGAAGAGAATGACTGTTCTCTAGAACAATTCCAAACTTCCCTTGAACTCAAAAAACTTTCCAGATATCAGCAATAATTTGTTTCTGATAGATTCCTCCAGCTTTGTGCACACTAGTCAAATGCAGCATTGTGACACTCTTCCATTTATGTGTGTATATATGATGTATATTTTGATGCATATTTTCAGAGTTCTCCTTTCCCTAACAAATTGCACTTTAATAACTTATTAGGGATGTGGGGCTACATCCAGATATTTTGTGGGATATAAACAGTTCAGCAGTTTTTTTCTTAATGGCTGTTACAGTCTTTAATTGGTGACCTTTTTTTTTTTTTGGAAAAATGTGGGAGGAAATATCATGAAATCAAAATATTTTAAAAATCAAATCAGGGCATTATTATTGTCAACTGAACTTAGAAAACATTTTAGTGCCAAGAACATCCCATTTAAGGGGGTTTGAGCTGTGTTCTTCCTTGTTGTTTGCACTGCTTGATCTCTCAGAGTGACTGCCTGAATTAATTGCTTATTCCTATAATCTTGTTTTCTTTGGGATAGATATGGCAATGTATTTGATGGATGGGAGAAAAACCACGTGTGTTGCTTTGTTTTTCTGTGTATTATTTTGGGAGGGGGGCTAACTCCTCATTATTGGCATGGTACTTGAGTTGATATTTTCCTGACCCCAGTGCCCAAGTTACCTTTGCACACGAAAGCTTCCTTTGCACAGAACGAGCTTCTTGGGTTTTTTTGTACAGACTAACTGAATGTATTGGAAAGGGAGGGGTTCAGGGAACAAATTCCAAACAAAAATTTAAAAATAAAGAAATTGCAGTTTTAATGCCTTTTTGTGAGTGTTTGCTGCAAAACAGAGATTGTAATACAAACAAGGAGGACAGAGCAAGTTTTAATTGATGCAATGTGTGGCTTTATTTTTGTACTGATGATGGTTAAGAGACTGTACAACATCTATTTATTTAGATGATTTATGTGGTAAATGTTGCAAACAAGGCTATCAAAGAGCATTAAATGAGAACTGACATTTAGCTAACATCCTGTTTCTGTGTCTTCCTTTGGTCTCCATTGTCTACAGTTCTATGCTAAGCCAGTTTTCTGGAAGCATCTGTGACCTGGGGTGTGGATATGTATAATATTTATTTCCTCTCACTGCCATTCAGTCTTTTCTTCATACTGTGGAATAGCACACAGACAATATGATGTAGTGTTAAGAGGGTATTAGATTTTGATATGAGGCAACATACATATTAATCCCTGCACAGCTATGGCATTTACAGTCTTCTCAGTCCAACCTGTTCTGCAGTGTATTTGTATGAAGATAAATACTGTTCCAAGCCCCTGGAGAAATTGAAAAAAAAGTGGTAGGTTGGCATGGTAGTTGCAAAAGGTAACCACCGTGGGCTTGCAAATGGTTTGAGAGGTTTTGGGAATTTGTGTGAAGGTGTTAAAGATGCTGGGATAAATACATCATGTCAGTCTTTGGGGAAAACAAAGGTAGAGTGGGTTACATTAACATGGATTTCCAGACTATTTCCTGGAGGCTGTGAATATTTGCAGTACTGAGCTCTTGGTTTAACTAATGATACAGTGGCAAGAATCTGTTGAGCACCATATCTATATATCAATCTCCCAACCAAGGGATTCCTATTTAAGTTGGCACTAATTTCCAGGATTTCTTCTCGCAAGCTATCCTGGAATCCTGGGACTTGTATTCCTTGTTAGAAGTCCATATTGGGGAGGGGGATACTGACTCTTCAGCATCTCATGACCAACTAACCACAAAGGGGCAGTAGGGCATAGATAGAGAGTTAAGGTTTTACTCTGCCTCTGCCTACTCTTTGTGTAAGAGATTGTTAATTTAAGGTCATTTCCTTCTACCTTTATTCCCAGGCACACACATGCAGAGCACATGCAGTTCAGCTCTCCTCCTGGTAGGATATAACTAGGTAGATGCTAGGTTTTGCCTATACCTGTAATATATTTCCTGCAAATAAATCTCCTTTATATTACAGTTATAATACCTGTTTCACTCACCATTCCTGCTCTTGAGAACACTAAGACATGCACAGAACACTTCTTCCAACATTTCTATCACATAGGGAGGTCACTGCTTTGGTATTTAGACACATGCCAAGTGGAAGCCACATCTCCAGGAAATACCATCTTGACAGAAAGGTATCAGAATCTTTGCCAACAATTACTGTATCAAAGAGCATTGATTTCAGGTGTATGCTTTATGCAGTTCCCAGATTGTAACAGCCCAAGCTTTAGAATAAGTGAAATGATGTGCAGTGACAGAGGGCAACCAAGACAAAACAGAGAACAAGTGTCTTGTGCATGATACTGTCCATGCTGGGGAAATAGACAAAATTAAAGGAGGGGACTGTACACAGAATTGAGACTTCTAAGATTTATATTTTGCCTTTATTTTGTACAACTCAAGGTGGCA